CTTTTGTAATGAGGAAAATAAAGGAAAAAATGCACAACAAAACCCACTGGGGAGCTGAGGCCATGATATCTAATCTCTGAAATTCTGTGCTGGGTGTGGGAATGATAGATAAATTCCAAAAAAGTTTGAATGATAGATAAATGTCAAAATCAATAGCAGTTCATTAGTTCATTGTTCAGTTTGTTTAAAATCCCATCAATAGGAAATTGCCACCTTCTGAACAGTTAAATGGGTAAATTCACCTGGAGGTTTTTGGCAAATCGATTTGTCTGAATTAATCAGAATAATTTGGCATCTTTTGGCATTGGTGAATACATTTTCTGCATGGCCAGAGGCCTTTGCCTGTCACACCAATAGATCATTGGGAAGGGGTAAACATTATGCTTGAAGAAATCCTACCAAGGTTTGGGGGCCACTTGGGTTGACTTCAGAGAGAGATCCCCGCTATGTAACAGATCTGGTGAGCAAAACCCTGGATATGAAATGGGCCTGACCCAGCCCTTGGTGACCACAGGCGAGTGGGAAAATGGAAAGGATGAATCAGACTTCAGAATTCAGCCAGGGTCAAAATCTAAAGTAAGCCCCTATCAATTGCTGTAGAGGCAGCCGTACTAAAGACCCTCCGTTCCTGGAGAAATCCATTCAAAGGARGAAACAGATTTCAATCTGTACTTGATTGCTTTAGGAGAAACTCTTGCTGGACTCTGTGAGTTTATAACCCTGCCGGGAGCAGTTGCTTTAGATGCCCCTGTTCATCCATTCCATCTTGGGGATTTTGTACATGGAAAGACCTGGAACCCTGAGCCTTTGAAGGAAAAGTGGAAAGGACCTTTCCAAGTGCTCCTGGTAACCTGCACTCCACTCAGGGTGGAAGGAATCAAACCCTGGGCTCATCACATGCGCGTAAAACCATCAACCACACATTAAATACAGCTGAAACCAGACTGACTGATATCCTGGAAGTTTTATAGATGTAAATTCTATTGGTTTAGGTATTGAATATGATTTTCTAAGGGCATGCTATTTATTGGTTCTASATGAAGATGAACAATAATTGCATATTTATAATAGTAATAGAAACTAGGTTGTTAACCTCTGGAAAGGGGAATGTGGTTTTCAAATAAGTGCAAGATTTTTGGAAGATTACAGAATAACCCCTATAACAGCTTGTTTGCCAACTTCAACCTCTGCAGAAAATCCAGTTCTGCTGGAAGCTTTAGCCAGCAATTTGACAAAAATCTGGGAATATCGGGAAGCGCCGGGGGAAACAGCACACAGACCACGAGGAATGATCCGCTGAACCCACTTTATTAAAATTGAACATGCCTTTTATAACCACTCTGGTGAACATCATGAATATTCTAAGTAGAGACTTCTTGATTGGTCATTTTAAAAATGCATTCTGATAAGGGATGTATATTGTAAGCTTCTGAGAGTATTGCATCAGAAAAGGGGGGGCTCGATAAGAAGCCTTAAAAAAAAAGGAGGCAGGGACTGCCTGCATGTCTGTTTGTTAAGATTAACTTAGCTGTGGTCAGCAAGCCCTAGAGCTATCAGCTACATGCTGGCCACACCCGCTGCAAACTTCATAGATATCTACTACATCTCCCCTGTTTTCTTTAAGCTGAGATAGATTTGCTTGAAGGGCCTGATTCAATACCCTCTTCACCATCCCTTGTAAACAAGCAAAGATACAAGGTCCAAAAAGCAAAACCAACAACAAAATCAAAAGAATAGTAACACACTGTTTGACAGCATCTTTTAACCATCCTGAAACACCTAAGGAGCTGAGCCAGGCATCAAATGGGCTGGTGACTTCTATTATCTTTTGGGTGTGCTGTTTAAGCCACTGAAGTTGCTTGTGAACGGACTTACTATAGGTGGATAGATTAAAGCAGCACATTCCCTCAAAATCTTCACACCCGTGTCCATGAGCTAACAATAAGAAATCAATAGCAGCTCGATTTTGTAAGATGGAGTGTTTAAGAGTATCCACATCTTGTGATAACTGTTCAATAATTGCGGTGGTAACATTCGATTGTTTAACAGTCTAGCAGGCCAGCTTCCCCAGCATAGTGCTGGAGTGTGCTGCAGCTAATCCTGGGACTAAAGCAGATGCAAAAAATCGAGCAGCTCTCCCCCAAAGCTCTACCTGGTCATCACAGTTGGGATCCATCTTTTTAATACCTCTTTTAACACGTTTACCAACCAGGCTTTTCCTTAGAGCTTCAACTGCGGTCTTATTGGGGGCCAAAAGTGTTAGCTTTC